TTCAAATTTAAGAAATTAAGTTTAAAATTTCAAATCTCAGATTTTTTTTAAAATTTATTTTTAAATTAATTAATTAAACATATATTTTATTAATTAAATATATTAATGTTACAATTCCATATAATTTGTTCACTAATTTCATATAATTGGTTACAAATCACAATTTTTATATATCACAAATTATTTTACGGTCACAATTCAAAAAATTTATAGTTCACAATTTGTTCATCGATCACAAATCAAAAATTTATACGTCACAATTTATTCATCAGTCACAAATCTATCAATTTAATTAGTCACATATTATATTTCGGTCACAAATAGAAATTTTATGTGTTACAAATTATTTTACGATCACACTTCAGAAATTTTATAGGTCACAATTTGTTCATCGATCACAAATAAAAAATTAATATGTTACAATTTATTTATCGATCACAAATTACAAAGATTATAAGTCACAACTTAATAGACAGTCACAAATTGTTAAATTATCGGTCACAAATTAAAAAAAATTTAGGTCACACATTATTTATTGGTCACAATTTATTTTTTTCATTGGTCATGTATTGTTTATTGGTCACAGATTAACCAATTTAATGGTCACATCGACCAAATAATTTATGACTACAACCAACACTTGTGATCATCATCACACCACTCCCTCCAGCGGCACCACCACCACCTCCGATAGCAATACAACCACCTCAAGCTAATCAACACATCGCAGAAAAATACCACCACATTGTCAAGCCATTCCACCACCATCGCGACAAACCCATCATCGTGCCGCCACCATCAACACCGCCCACATCACCGTTGCCAACACGACCATCACTTCCTCAAATCCATTACCGTCAACGCCACCACCATCTACACTCTACCACCATCGACCACTACGTGCTGCACCCAACTTCTACACCACCACCCCCATCCTACAACTCAAAAAAAATCCCCAACCACCATTAAAACCACAGATTCACCACCACACCAACATCCAGGAAAAAAACCCTCCAGATCGGCAACCACCACACAGCTCATCATAAAAAGGGATGAATTTCCACCGCACAGATCGTGACGCTGGCCTTACAAGGGGAAGAAGAGAGAGAGAGAGAGAGAGAGAGAGAGGCGACAGATGAGAGAGACGACCATGAGGAAAGAGAAGGAGATGATAGAGAAAGAATGGAGACGTGATAA